TGTTGCAGGCGTCAAATTCAAAACGAGTGAATATTTGCAAAAAAAAAAAAAACAATAAAATTTATCAGTTAATATCTTGTCTTTGTAGTATATTCAACTGAAAATGGGTTAAAAAGGATTTGCAAATCATTGTATTCAGTTTTTTCTAATGTTTTACACAATGCGCCAACTTCATTGGAATTGGGGTTTTAGGTTTGGTTTGGGTTGTCCCTGGGCAAGACACTGAACCCCTGCATGCCTCCTATGTGTCAGGTGGGTGTATGTATGTATGTAGCATATTGCACTGATTAGCCTCTACAGAATTAGCTTTGTAGAGATGTATTGGTGATAAATTAACACCATAATTTTAACTATAGTGCACTAWTTCACTTAATTTGCTGGATTCTTTCYATTTCTCCTGCAGGTACAACTATAMGCTGTGCCCGTTCAATCATGTCACACAGAAGAGCACAACAGGAACAGAGGTCTCATTAGGGTAAGTACCTCAGTCACTGTCTGTTTTGTTTCCACTCTGAGTATCTCAAAGATCAGCTTTAATATGTCAGAGAGAGTGGAGAAATCCATTATCAGTGTGAACACACTTCTACAAAAAKCCTCTGCTGCACTTTGTGTTTATTTAGCTCTGTGACATTTCGAAGCTATGGCAGAGCTTATTCACTTTTAGGCATAGCTAATGGAAGTTGGGTTTTTCACGACTGGGCTTGAAACAAATCCCATCCCTTTTGTCATGTAGAAGGTCTGTCGTTATTTTTATATGCAGTTATCTTAAGATCAGTATTTGTGCTTCTTTATTGTGTATTTTATGTAATCTCTGTTAGCTTCTTGTGATATTTAATCAGTCACTAACAGATCTTTATCAAAGTTTTAATACCTTTTGATTCATGACCGATGGAGCAGGTKTGGTTCATTGTTGAGGTTTTGTATTTTCTGCCTCTGGGGGATTCAGGTTCATCAAAAGCTTTCACATGTTTGCGACTGACTGTAACCTTGTGATCGTTTTGTATCAACTTGTGGTTTTAGACCTGTGTCATAATGCATGTGCGTTATGAGAGAGATGCTGTATTAAATGTTAGAAAACCTGTTATTTGTGCTTTAGAAGGATCAGTGTACAGGAACTTGTCATCTTACAATGAATGCAAGAGTAACATACTTTTTACATACTAAAAACCTATTATGATTGGGTTTTATGGGTTTTATGGTTGGATGAAAATAATGTTACATCATTATCATTTTGTGTATCTGATAGACATGTAGCATGATCTACATTAATACCAGGTCTCCACAGATTTACTGATATTCAAAAATACATAATGGCATTAACTGAGCAAATTTGAAGTGTGTAAGATTCATACTGCAGGTTTTAACACTCGGTTCTGATTTTTTGAAAAAAATTAGATTTTTGAATGGATCTATAAATTATATTTTAAATTAGACGTCCATTAGACTCCAGTACAAAATCTCCACGGCCCTGATGCCGACCCGCATGCATAGAAAAAGACGTTACATAACATTGAGATTGCTTTTTACAGAAGTAGCTAAATATGGATGCYACATGTTAGCATGTTGATTCTGAAGTTGCTGTGCAATCACAGCCAATTTAATAATTATCTGACATACTTGTTTCTRGTCGGCTGCTTCGGTGTAGCATTTTAATTTTGGAATGGTAGCGGCTTGCTAACAGTAAAGTATMGATMGAGTAACTTTAGTATCGAAACTGTCCGCGATCAACGTTACTATCATGTTTCTGTGGATTCTCAGTMATCCAGGACATGGAAAATAAAAATAAAGTCATGACAAATGTGCTTCTCTGTAGCTGAAGAGAAGTGAAGTTACAAGATTTAAACTGCRCAAGATTGGTACCAATATTTTAAATATTTGAATCGATCGGCTSARMTCCACCTCACTGAAGTAAAAGTCAAATGAMAAGAGRAATAAGCKCTCAGACTGAGGTCGCTACGAAAAACATCAGATATTTATCTGATTTAGTACCACATACATATATCTCACAAGAAAAATAAGAGAGCTCGTGTGYCATGTCATAATATACCGTGTTTATTCAAGTATAACACGTAAAATTTAATCCATAAAATCATCCATAAAGTTGGGGGGTAGTATTATACTCGGATAAATATTTTTACTTATGTATTTTAACTCAAATATCGGCAAAATGATTGAGTCCGGAAATGAGACGGCGTCGTAAAAAGCAGTTGAAACAAGCTCACCTGTGACAGTCTTCCGTGCTGCAGAGCGAACAGATCCAGGCAGGCGACATGATGTGAAAAAAAGGGGGGAAAAAGCAGTCCTGCAGCTCAGTAATGATAACAAACTAATGACATTAGCGTGTGACCGAGCCGCTCCTCGAACAACAACAAACACATGTTCGTCTGTAATGGCTGCCGTCAACCGGTGTTCTGAAACAGTTTGTATCCCTGAAAAAAGTTTCCCCACCAGAGGGGGCGCTTGCAAGTATGAAGTTATCTGCTTGTATCTGCTTGAAGATGGCCCAAATCTCATGTGAAGTCTCTGACTTTTGTGTTGG